CTTTGATCAGTGCCTTCCAGTGTTGTGAGCCAGGGTTTTCTGCAAATCGTCCAAGTTGGCTCACAGGAAATGCTGCGTCTGGTCTGGTCGTGGTCACTATAAACAGCAGTCGTCCCAGCAATTGGCGGTACGGTGTACGACTCATGGCTTGTCTTTCGACATCGGACTTTGGACTGTTTGCGCTGGACAGTTTCATGCTCTGATCACATGGGTTACCAGTTGGTCGGGCTTGAGTCTGTCCAAACATGTCTGCAGTCTCCTCGATGTATCTTTGTTGCGAAATAAACATCTCACGCTTCTTTCGGTCGTACATAACTTCCATTCCAAGCAAGTGCTTCACTGGACCAAGGTCTTTGGTTTGAAACCGCTGAGAGATTTGTTCTTTCACCTTGCGTACCGTGGTTGCTTCTTTTGCAGCCACAATCATATCATCAACGTATAAGCACACGTACGCCCAGCCTTCACCATCCTTTATCTTGTATATGCATCGATCAGCACCGCACGCGACAAATCCCATCTCCAGTAATGCATTGTGAATCGTCTTATTCCAGGCATTTGCAGCCTGCTTAAGTCCGTAAAGCGCGCGATTCAATTTAAGTACAAACTCGCTGCCAATTTTCATCCCTTTGGGTGGTAACAAGTATACTTCTTCTTGTAGGTCGGCATTCAGGTAGGCCGTATCAACATCAAGCTGGTCGATCACATATCCTGCTGCGCAGCAAATCGACAATAGCATCCTGATGGAGTTCATACTGGCGACAGCCGCGTACGTCTCGAAAAAGTTGATACCATATTGTTGCAGGAATCCGAGCGCCACAAGTCGTGCTTTGTATCGACCATCACTCTTTTTAGCCCATACCCACTTCGATCCAATTGGTTTCATTCCAGGCTTGCGTACAATTGGTGTCCACGTCTTGTTACGCTCATGAGCCGCAAATTCATTCTCAATAGCTTTAATCCATTGGTATCTGTCAGGTCCATTCACTGCCTCCGCATAAGAGCCAGGTAAATCACGAGCTATCATGGCAACTTCTGCTATCAATGCCACATCGCTGTTTATTCGCGATCGCTTGGAAGGAGGTTCGTCATCTTCACTCCCACTGGCTTCATGGTTTTCATTGTATGGCACAATGCTGTTTTCTGTTGTGGTACTAGTGTTATTGTCTTCCAACAAGAGCTGAACAGGTTGCTCAATTGGTAGCATTTCATCAACACCTCCTCGTGGTCCGGATTCACTTCTCCCACTGGCATCGTCAGTAAGAACACGATACTGATGCTCGCGACCGGAACGACGCTTAAGTTGTGGACGGAACACCATCGCTCCAGAGTCGTGCGGATTGTGTAATTCGAGTTCTTGGTGACGAGGTCCTTGTTGAATTACTTGGGAAGTGTGTTGATGTTGTTCGTTGTTCATATTTCTTGCAAGATAATGATTGCTTGTCTCACTCGAAGGTGTGTTACTGATGTCATTGTCAGAACTCGGTACTTCCATCTCCACATCTTCGACAATTTCGTGCTCTTCCATTTCAACATCTTCATCACCATCTTGTTGCAAGTTACTTGGTTGATCTCCATCATCGTCATCTTGTCGTATTATTATCATCTTCGGGTGTGGTACAACCGGATTGTCTTCGTAAATGTTACTAACTTCACGTTCATCTAACGCGATCGAACGACTGATCTTGATCGTACCAGTCTCCAGATCAAGCACCCTGTAACCCTTGGTGTGTCTTGCATATCCTAACAGCATGCAGCGAAACCCTTTCGCGTCGAATTTCGTGCGCTTTGAGTCATCGATATGTGCGTATCCAAGTGAACCAAATACACGTAGGTGAGAAATTTCGGGCTTCGTCTTAAAGCACAGTTCAAAAGGAGTCTTCTCCTCGTGATTGCAGTTCGTGGTTCTGTTAAGTAAATACACCGCCGTATTCACAGCTTCGGCCCACCACTTCTTTGCCACCCGCTTGTAATGCATCATGCTTCTGGCCGTCTCAACAATCGTACGGTTCATCCGTTCAGCAACACCGTTTTGTTGAGGACTGTAGGGTACTGTCTTCTGATGGATGATGCCGTGTTTCTTGCAGTACGAAGCAAACCTCTTGTTTTTGTATTCACCGCCATTGTCAGTACGTATGGCCTTAATACGAAATCCACACTGCTGCTCCATCTCGGTCCGAAATTCAATGAACTTCGACAGTACTTCACTCTTGGACTTCAGAAAATATACAGTCACTAATCTTGAAAAATCGTCCACGAGAGACAATACGTATCGTGACCCACCAGGAGTTGGGTTCTTCATAGGGCCCATGACGTCAGAGTGAATAAGCTGCAGTGGCTGCGTTGTCTTTGTCTTCGACTCTTGTGGAAAACTCGCGACACACAGTTTCCCTTGTAGACACCCTCCACACAAATTCTTGTTCGTGTCAGGTACTACATTCGGTAGTCCTTCCGTAGCCTCCTTTGTCTTTTTAAACTTGTTGTGGCTAATGTGACCCATTCGTGCATGCCACAGCTCCCACTTGTTACCAGCGTCTTCATGTTCTACCAACATCGCGTGCTCATACTCCACATCAAGAGTGTACACGCTTCTCATGCGCTTCGCAGAAATCATCAACACATTATCCTTGTAGATACCGCAGTATTTTTCACCGAATCGAACGTTGTACCCACGCTGGACGATCTTGGGCACCGCTAGTAGTCGTCTGTCCAGCGTTGGAATGTGCAATACTTCATTCACAGTCACTGCTGTACCATTCGTACAGCGAAATCGAATGCTTCCTCGTCCAATTGCATTCATGACCGCACCATCGGCAACGCGAACTTGAATGGCTTCTCTCAATTTCTCGTACTCAAAGAAATCTTCTTCGGCTGGGGTCATATGTGACGAGGCGCCGCTGTCCAACAACCATCCTTTTTTAATCCGTTTGTGGCCGTGAATGCCATTTCATTTCCATCATTCTTGGTGGCAGATCGGCACTCAAACTGCTTGTGTCCGATCTTGTTACAGCGGTGACACTTCCCACGAAACGGCTGTTTCTTCTTCCAGCTCTCTTCTGCACCACGTTGTTTGCGCATTCCACGACCACGATCCTGTTTATGGCCTCCACGACCAACGCGGAAAGCTCCTTCGGAGACCTCTTGCTGCTGCTTCTTCTTGTGTTCCTTCAACAGCTTTTCTTTCACATCCACCATCGTCACACCCATGGAATTCTCAATGATGGACACAATCATCTCGTACTCTGCCGGTAAGCTACTCAGCAGAACTGTCATCTGGCGTGCGTCGTCCATGGTATCGCCCACCGCCTCCATACTCAAAACAAGTTCATCGAAACGGTCGAGGTGGCTCACCATGTCGCCTCCCTCATCCATACGAAATTCGTGCAATCGACGTGTCAGTGCCACTCGATTCTGAAGGTTTGTCTTGTTGTAGTAGTCGCGTAGTGTTTCCCATGCTTCCTTCGCAGTGCGAGCATGTCGGATCTTCGTCTGATGCTTTACTTCGATCCCTTGAGCAATAATAGCAAACGCCTTCATGTCCTTGACCTTCCAATCCTCCGTCATCTCCTGCTCCGACTTCACTTCCAAGATGTGCTCTAGCAGGCCCTTCCTCGCAAGTGTCATCTTCATATTGAATTCCCAATGGAAGTAGTTGTCTGTTCCAAGCAGGTCATCGGGTTTCTTCATCGTACTGGCTTCTGGCAGGGGTCCTTAAGCTCTTGGGCTCATAACCTGTTATGTCGAAGGAAAATTGGAAAGTGTATTGAATTAGTTTTCCTATGAACTTACTCGTCGTGTTATCTTCTTCTACCTTGTAGCTTTCCCTGATCTTGATGGATTCTAGAACATACACTCAAGGTAGTTCTAGAATCATCAGACTGCACGTGAACCGTTTACACCCTGTCGTATCATCGCTGTCTTGTCACTTGTGCGTAGCAAATCACAGTTGGCTTTGTTGACCGTGCATTGACAGTGCACCCATCAACAATTTTTCCCGTGGAATACCGAATCGGTTTGCAAGCTATCACTGCCGCCGCATTTGCACTTATGGAGGTGTTGTGCGTTTCATCGGCGGAGTTGACGAAGCCGCTTGACCATTGATTGGCTGCTCTCAGTTGGCTCACGTGAAGAGACAAAGTCTCCTGACAGAGGAAATGAACATAATATCAGTCGAACCAAAACCATCCGGTCACGCGAAGGTGTCGGTTGTATCGCTTGCCAAAAGGATTGTACGCTTACATTTTGATTCGACTTGGAGCAGTTCATTGTACCTAGAGCAAAATTAAATGAACGATAGAGAGAGAGCTAAAAGTTTGTAAGCTTTAGTATGGACGTGTGCAGAGCGACCCAATATGCCTACTACTATTCTCCGATGTGTTTGCAAACGTCTAAAAGTATTTCTGTTCTTGGTTGTGTCTCTTTGCGAACGCGCCAAGCATCGTTGCGAGAGTTGTCGAGGCAACTTGGAAGACATCAGGATCGGGTTTGTCCAGACGGCAGCGTTCAACATATCTTCCAAGAGGTGAAACGCACCGATCAAAGTGTGCAGTTCCCGGATACCCGAGAGCTCGGTTGTCATCATTGTAGCCCACTGATAGTATCTTAGCAATGATCGACGCTATGCGTGAAGCACACGCCTCTCCGAGATGAGACCACATTGCTCGAGCGAGAGTTGTTGCACCGAATAGGTGGCAAAGCCATCGACAGGATCCGGATCCAACATGCACGGCTGATTATTCGACAAACACATTCGATTATCCGACATACACGGCTGATTGTCTGACTATTTTTCGATTGTTCTTGACGTGATGGCAGCTGGCGCAGCTTTTCTCAGAGCACGTTCCTTGAGTTCCGAAGAGTTCTCCATCATCCCGTTATGTCCCGTTATAATGGGGGTGGGACAAACACAGCTCATCGAGCTGCATTCATTCTACTACTCACAACGAAATTCGCTTCCGACACGAGACGAACGAGCCAAGTCACAAAGTACTTTCACAACGACAATGAAGTTCACTGCCGTCCTTGCTGCTGCCGTCCTCGCTACGACAAGCGTCCTGGCCACAGAGACACCCGCGTTGCGAGCTCTTGCAGACGCCACCGCCGAAGATGCTGTCAGCGATGAGACGAGCATGCAACCCGACGCCGAGGCGATGAACGAAGATGATGACGATGGCCAGCAAGAGAGAAGATGGGGAGGCGGAGGTGGTAAATGGGGCGGTGGTGGTGGTAAATGGGGCGGTGGTGGTGGTAAATGGGGTGGCGGTGGTGGTAAATGGGGCGGTGGTGGTGGTAAATGGGGGCGTGGTTGGTGAGCGTGCGGACTGCACGGTAAGACGAAAAGACGACTTTCCTTTTCGCACGGTCATGCGTTTGCTCAATCATCTTCCGCGCTCTGCGACTGCTGATGCGGTTGATTCAGTAGATCGATCGGAGTGGAGTGAAGCTGAGTGAGTCTGAGATGAGACGAGGTGAAGAAGCGTATTGATTTGCTAGTATGAGTTGAGCCGAAGAATAATATCATTGCTGTTCCTCGATCGTTTCGTCTCGTTGAAGTCTTCGATGCATCCGTCTCAACGTATGGACTTGATCGACTGAATTGTTACAGGTAGACTGAATTGTTACAGGCAGAGACCGTCAACCACTTGAAGACCGAAACACTGCTGCGGCAGTGGGTGGGGAAACCGATGTGGAACAAGCGTCTTCTTTGCCAGGCCGCTCCGGCTACTTGGTAACATCGACTGCTCGTAGCCTTGGATGCAGTTCCGACGGCTACACATGATACTGACTATGAAGTAAGCATGCTTATGGCTAGGATACGACAACCTTCGGTAACGAGAGGTTGACAGGCAGAAAGAATCCTGGATGCAGTGATGATCTCATCTTGGCCGTTGCAGACGATGAATCGGTAAAAGTGGATGATGGTTTGTAGCGGTTCGAGTGGTTACAAGTGGATGATGGTTGTTAACCTTTCCCACAACCCCCACCTCCACGAGTTGCCACCTTTTTGTTGATGTGTGCACTGTCAATGCACGGTCAACAAAGCCAACTGTGATTTGCTACGCACAAGTGACAAGACAGCGATGATACGACAGGGTGTAAACGGTTCACGTGCAGTCTGATGATTCTAGAACTACCTTGAGTGTATGTTCTAGAATCCATCAAGATCAGGGAAAGCTACAAGGTAGAAGAAGATAACACGACGAGTAAGTTCATAGGAAAACTAATTCAATACACTTTCCAATTTTCCTTCGACATAACAGGTTATGAGCCCAAGAGCTTAAGGAGCCCTGCCAGAAGCCAGTACGATGAAGAAACCCGATGACCTGCTTGGAACAGACAACTACTTCCATTGGGAATTCAATATGAAGATGACACTTGCGAGGAAGGGCCTGCTAGAGCACATCTTGGAAGTGAAGTCGGAGCAGGAGATGACGGAGGATTGGAAGGTCAAGGACATGAAGGCGTTTGCTATTATTGCTCAAGGGATCGAAGTAAAGCATCAGACGAAGATCCGACATGCTCGCACTGCGAAGGAAGCATGGGAAACACTACGCGACTACTACAACAAGACAAACCTTCAGAATCGAGTGGCACTGACACGTCGATTGCACGAATTTCGTATGGATGAGGGAGGCGACATGGTGAGCCACCTCGACCGTTTCGATGAACTTGTTTTGAGTATGGAGGCGGTGGGCGATACCATGGACGACGCACGCCAGATGACAGTTCTGCTGAGTAGCTTACCGGCAGAGTACGAGATGATTGTGTCCATCATTGAGAATTCCATGGGTGTGACGATGGTGGATGTGAAAGAAAAGCTGTTGAAGGAACACAAGAAGAAGCAGCAGCAAGAGGTCTCCGAAGGAGCTTTCCGCGTTGGTCGTGGAGGCCATAAACAGGATCGTGGTCGTGGAATGCGCAAACAACGTGGTGCAGAAGAGAGCTGGAAGAAGAAACAGCCGTTTCGTGGGAAGTGTCACCGCTGTAACAAGATCGGACACAAGCAGTTTGAGTGCCGATCTGCCACCAAGAATGATGGAAATGAAATGGCATTCACGGCCACAAACGGATTAAAAAAAGGATGGTTGTTGGACAGCGGCGCCTCGTCACATATGACCCCAGCCGAAGAAGATTTCTTTGAGTACGAGAAATTGAGAGAAGCCATTCAAGTTCGCGTTGCCGATGGTGCGGTCATGAATGCAATTGGACGAGGAAGCATTCGATTTCGCTGTACGAATGGTACAGCAGTGACTGTGAATGAAGTATTGCACATTCCAACGCTGGACAGACGACTACTAGCGGTGCCCAAGATCGTCCAGCGTGGGTACAACGTTCGATTCGGTGAAAAATACTGCGGTATCTACAAGGATAATGTGTTGATGATTTCTGCGAAGCGCATGAGAAGCGTGTACACTCTTGATGTGGAGTATGAGCACGCGATGTTGGTAGAACATGAAGACGCTGGTAACAAGTGGGAGCTGTGGCATGCACGAATGGGTCACATTAGCCACAACAAGTTTAAAAAGACAAAGGAGGCTACGGAAGGACTACCGAATGTAGTACCTGACACGAACAAGAATTTGTGTGGAGGGTGTCTACAAGGGAAACTGTGTGTCGCGAGTTTTCCACAAGAGTCGAAGACAAAGACAACGCAGCCACTGCAGCTTATTCACTCTGACGTCATGGGCCCTATGAAGAACCCAACTCCTGGTGGGTCACGATACGTATTGTCTCTCGTGGACGATTTTTCAAGATTAGTGACTGTATATTTTCTGAAGTCCAAGAGTGAAGTACTGTCGAAGTTCATTGAATTTCGGACCGAGATGGAGCAGCAGTGTGGATTTCGTATTAAGGCCATACGTACTGACAATGGCGGTGAATACAAAAACAAGAGGTTTGCTTCGTACTGCAAGAAACACGGCATCATCCATCAGAAGACAGTACCCTACAGTCCTCAACAAAACGGTGTTGCTGAACGGATGAACCGTACGATTGTTGAGACGGCCAGAAGCATGATGCATTACAAGCGGGTGGCAAAGAAGTGGTGGGCCGAAGCTGTGAATACGGCGGTGTATTTACTTAACAGAACCACGAACTGCAATCACGAGGAGAAGACTCCTTTTGAACTGTGCTTTAAGACGAAGCCCGAAATTTCTCACCTACGTGTATTTGGTTCACTTGGATACGCACATATCGATGACTCAAAGCGCACGAAATTCGACGCGAAAGGGTTTCGCTGCATGCTGTTAGGATATGCAAGACACACCAAGGGTTACAGGGTGCTTGATCTGGAGACTGGTACGATCAAGATCAGTCGTTCGATCGCGTTAGATGAACGTGAAGTTAGTAACATTTACGAAGACAATCCGGTTGTACCACACCCGAAGATGATAATAATACGACAAGATGACGATGATGGAGATCAACCAAGTAACTTGCAACAAGATGGTGATGAAGACGTTGAAATGGAAGAGCACGAAATTGTCGAAGATGTGGAGATGGAAGTACCGAGTTCTGACAATGACATCAGTAACACACCTTCGAGTGAGACAAGCAATCATTATCTTGCAAGAAATATGAACAACGAACAACATCAACACACTTCCCAAGTAATTCAACAAGGACCTCGTCACCAAGAACTCGAATTACACAATCCGCACGACTCTGGAGCGATGGTGTTCCGTCCACAACTTAAGCGTCGTTCCGGTCGCGAGCATCAGTATCGTGTTCTTACTGACGATGCCAGTGGGAGAAGTGAATCCGGACCACGAGGAGGTGTTGATGAAATGCTACCAATTGAGCAACCTGTTCAGCTCTTGTTGGAAGACAATAACACTAGTACCACAACAGAAAACAGCATTGTGCCATACAATGAAAACCATGAAGCCAGTGGGAGTGAAGATGACGAACCTCCTTCCAAGCGATCGCGAATAAACAGCGATGTGGCATTGATAGCAGAAGTTGCCATGATAGCTCGTGATTTACCTGGCTCTTATGCGGAGGCAGTGAATGGACCTGACAGATACCAATGGATTAAAGCTATTGAGAATGAATTTGCGGCTCATGAGCGTAACAAGACGTGGACACCAATTGTACGCAAGCCTGGAATGAAACCGATTGGATCGAAGTGGGTATGGGCTAAAAAGAGTGATGGTCGATACAAAGCACGACTTGTGGCGCTCGGATTCCTGCAACAATATGGTATCAACTTTTTCGAGACGTACGCGGCTGTCGCCAGTATGAACTCCATCAGGATGCTATTGTCGATTTGCTGCGCAGCAGGATATGTGATCGACCAGCTTGATGTTGATACGGCCTACCTGAATGCCGACCTACAAGAAGAAGTATACTTGTTACCACCCAAAGGGATGAAAATTGGCAGCGAGTTTGTACTTAAATTGAATCGCGCGCTTTACGGACTTAAGCAGGCTGCAAATGCCTGGAATAAGACGATTCACAATGCATTACTGGAGATGGGATTTGTCGCGTGCGGTGCTGATCGATGCATATACAAGATAAAGGATGGTGAAGGCTGGGCGTACGTGTGCTTATACGTTGATGATATGATTGTGGCTGCAAAAGAAGCAACCACGGTACGCAAGGTGAAAGAACAAATCTCTCAGCGGTTTCAAACCAAAGACCTTGGTCCAGTGAAGCACTTGCTTGGAATGGAAGTTATGTACGACCGAAAGAAGCGTGAGATGTTTATTTCGCAACAAAGATACATCGAGGAGACTGCAGACATGTTTGGACAGACTCAAGCCCGACCAACTGGTAACCCATGTGATCAGAGCATGAAACTGTCCAGCGCAAACAGTCCAAAGTCCGATGTCGAAAGACAAGCCATGAGTCGTACACCGTACCGCCAATTGCTGGGACGACTGCTGTTTATAGTGACCACGACCAGACCAGACGCAGCATTTCCTGTGAGCCAACTTGGACGATTTGCAGAAAACCCTGGCTCACAACACTGGAAGGCACTAATCAAAGTGCTAAGATACCTCCGCTCGACGAGTGGTTTTGGATTACACTACAGTGTTGACAAACTACAGCAACAACTAACAGCGTATAGTGACGCCGATTGGGGAAACAGCTTGGACGACCGTCGATCGGTATCTGGTGTTTTGCTGGTGCTTAATGGAGGCCCTGTTATATTTAAGTCTAAGTACCAACGCACCGTTGCATTGAGTACTTCTGAGGCTGAATACATGGCGCTAAGCATGTGCACTCAAGACATACTATGGGCAAGGATGTTAATGGCTGACCTCGGATTCGAGCAGAAGAATCCTACTGTCATCTACGAGGATAATCA